ATCAAAAAACCAATGTTTTTTTTTTTTCAAAAAAAATTGTCAAAATTTCATCCCGCGCGCTCTTGCGGATTCGTAGGAAACCCAACACTTTTTAAACATTTCTGTCAAACGGGCTTTTGCGAGCAACTTTTTCGAACTTCTGCAACAACGGTTGCGCACCTGCCAGGGCCATCATCCCTGTCAAATAATACCATGCGGGACACATTCGTTTTTTCTTCGCGCGCGCACGCCGTCGTCGTCGGCCGCGGGGCCCTGAATAGTAGCCACGGTCGTCCGCATGCCACGAAGTGAAGTGTCCGAACGTCATAGGGCGGGAAGCTGGGTGTGGGTGGTGGCGAAGAGTCGTTTGGAAATTTGGTAGAGCTTGAACCGGCCCCCCCACAAAGTGGGGGTATTGCCCGCCTCCTATGAAAACCCTGGCACTGGTGAGAACGGAGTGTCCCCACGTGCTAGTACTTGTTGTTGTTGTTGTTGTTGTTGTTGTTGTTGTTGCTGCTGCTGCTGCTGCTGCTGCTGTTGTTGTTGTTGTTGTTGTTGTTGTTGTTGTTGTTGCTGCTCTTGCTGTTAGCAGGTCGTCTAGCTCACTCCCGCCCGCCCTCCCAACACATGAGTAACGCCCGAGTGGAAGCAGATCGCTTAGGAACACCACTCATGCCAGGCGCGCCACGGGTTCCAAGTGCACCACTCACCGTGGAGTCCCAAGCGTGCTTGGTGCGGCACATGCTCCACGTGCGCCAGCTGTGCCATGTGCTCCAGCCGCTCCAGGTGCGCCAGCTACGGGGAACCGATAGGGACCCCAGGTGCCTGGGGCCCTGGCCCCAAGGAGTTCAGGATGTTGAATTCTTCTGGAGCGAATTGCCGAGCATTCTGTGAGAAGGACGGCTCTTCCAGGGAGCGCAAAGCACCAGCAGGACAACTTGTGACATCTTGAGGAGTCGTGAAACAGATGAGAGCTCAGAGAAAAGAGGGCCCTGCGCATGCTCCAGATTTGGAACCGCATTGTATTGTTGTGTTGTTTTTTTGGCGGGGATGGTTGGCCTGCGCGCAGCAAGCAATATGCCGGCACCCCCGCCGTCCTTGTCAAAAGCCAATGCACAGTGGTCGCGGGGTGCTCGCGCAATCGCCATTGGAGGCCTATGGGCGATGGGGGGGGGTCATTGGTTCGTGTTGGCTGCCAGTCGCCTGGGGGAGGGGATGTTTGTTATAGGTAAAAGTGATGAACCCATCTCCCGAGCAGGGGAAGGAGGGAAAACAGAACTCATTGAACCACCTTTACGCCCAGAGGGCTTGTGGGATTGGCTTCCTTTGTTTGTCAGGTGTTGCTTTAAGGAGGGGCGAGGATACAGGGGAATACCAGACGCTCTTGCAGTGCTGGCGGCCCCACAGGGGGCACAGTCGAACGTTGCGCTTGAAGCTCCCGTTGCCAGTAAGGCTGGGGAAGTTCCTAGACGCCCGCTGAGTTTCGCGGAGTTGAGGCTGAGCTTCTTCTGCAATGCTTGTATACACAGCGCTTCCGCGAGCACGTCTGGACTGATATTCAAATGTTCAGATATTTTTGGTGTTTTTGGTCTGTTCTTGTTTGCTTGGTGTGGTTGCCTCGTCGTTGCCGTTCTCCTCATCGTCCCCCTCTTCGTCCATCCTCCCCAATTCGTCCTCCTTCCGTCCTCAATCTCCTCCTCTTCTTTCGTTCCGCCATAAGTGGCCTCTTCGTCGTACCACTAGCCGTGTTGGTAGGGCTGGCAATGCGGTTGGTTTGAGGTTTCGTCGCAATTCGTTGCACATGATCCAGAAGTTTTGACGTGCCAGCGGTTACACGGATGGAGCACACACCGTTTTCAAGTGTGGCCTTCGCTTGGCGCCGCGCACATTACATTACGCGGATGGACCAAGTGTTCGGTAGCAAATCATGAGGGCTTTGTGTACACTCGTAACTCCGTCTAAAGCAACGCGTTAGCGTCGATGAGCGTTTGGTAATCAATGAGATAGCGCCAATTTAGCGTCGATTAGCGCCGATTGCTGTCGATCAGCGTCGATTAGCGTCTATTCGCAAGAGCCAGCAGGATGGTGTGGGAGGCTCCCGCGAGTTGCCGCAGAAGGTGGAGAACGTGTCTCCTTCGAGCGTATCAGTATCGCCTTCGCGCAGCGCGCATGATGGCCAGGATCTTGCAGCGGCTGCGCGAACGGAGGGGGGCTCCTGGTCCCGGCTCACAGCGGGGATCTCGCGAGGCTCTCGCCTGACACCCCTCGGAGCTTGCAGCGCGAAGCGAGAGCGCGTGAGGTACACCTTAGGCGATGCTTAAGAAAGCTTAAGTTTTCGGCCAGAGTCTCGATTATTCTTAACGTTTCAATGTAAATCTTAAGATTTTAACGGAAATGTTGGGTTTTTATTCAAGTTCTGAGACTATGAATTTCTTAACCCATGGTTTCTAAAGCATTTCGCAGGGTGTACTGCCCAGGCGCTGAAGCACGGGCCGCTCTGGGCTCGGGCGGGGCCCGGGTCCTCGGGCCGTGCCTCCGATGCCTGCCGTGGAGCCTGCCTGTGGCCTCGGCCCGAGGAGGAGGAGGAGGAGGAGGAGGAGGTAGGAGGAGGAGAGGAGGGAGGAGGGAGGAGGGAGGAGGGAGGAGGCCCTGGCCGGGAGCGCCCCCTCGTCCCCTCTCGCGTGCTCCCCGTGGCCGCACGGCGACGGCAGCTGCACGGAGGGCAGGCGGTGCCCTCTCAACGTGGGGGTTCTCGCCTGACGTCGGCAATACCCCAACATACTTATACTATATGTGCGTCGCCCCCCCAGGGGCGACGCGCGCACCGAGAAATCTTATAGTATATGCGTCGTGGCGGGCGCTTTCTGGCCACACCGCTCGGGAAACGATATACTACAAGATGGGTATACGATATGTTCGGGTCGGACGCGCGCCTCCAAGGAGGACATCTAGTATTAGTATGTCCATGTGCGTCCCATGACGCATCGGCCGGCAGACCTGGTTTCCCCGAGGCTCCGCACGCGCAGCGGTGGCGCGGTGTCCTCATATATCTTCTCCGAGGCATGCGAGCACGGAGGGCCGAGGGCGGCTCGTCTACACAGCGGGGCTCCTGCTTGACTGGCCGGTCCGTGGGGCGCGCTCGTCTTTCCAGGGGGCGCTCCCCGCAGGGGAAAAGGCATGGTGTTCACAGGGGGCGTGGGCTTTATGAGCTGCCAGAGGAGACGATCGTGACGGGAGGGTGTGTCGAAGCGATGCGGATGTGTTTTTTGCTTAAGGGCTCCCTCGAGGGCGCGAAGTTATTCGCGCTTCGCGCTTCGCGGTCCTCGTTCTTTCGCCTCCTCCTCCTCGTCCTCCTATTCTCCCTTTGGGAGGGCAGCGCGAGAGCGCGAAGTTATTCGCGCTTCGCGCTTCGCGCAGCGCGAAGCGCGAAGTTGGGAGCCCTAGCCTTGGCTTCCCCTCGCTTTCTGTTAGATCCCACGGTCGAACGCAGCATCGTAGTGCCAAGGCAACGATGGTGGGTGAATTGGCGTTCCCCAGAGTTGTCCGCTTGATAGCAAGCTGGTTCGGTCGAATGCTGCAGTCGGCCCTACTGTCAGAAGCGTAAATGTGTGGTGATGCGGCCAGTTCTCAACAACAATGACTCGCCTAATAGCACTGCGTGTTGGGTCAAATGCACGATGATGGGGCGAAGTGGACCCGTGTTTCTCAAGTTGCAAGTTCGGCAGTTGGCCGTGTTATCAGATGCGCAAAGGCGGGATGAGCTCACCCCCCCTCCCGCCCCGGCCCCGCCCCAGGATCCAATTGGGGGGAGGAAGAGAATTACAGGAGGAGGAGGAGGAGGAGGAGGAGGAGGAGGAGGAGGAGGAGGAGGAGGAGGACCAGTGTAAACCCAAGAGTCAGCAGAAGGAGAAGGACGAAGATGAGGAGGAGCAGGAGGACCAGTGTAAACCCAAGAGTCAGGAGGAGGAGGAATAGGCGAATGAGGAATAGGACGAGGAGGAGGAGGAATAATGATGATACGAAGACCATACTGAACATATGACTACTGAGAACAATAATATCAATCATACCAATACTATAAGAATGACATTAATAACATGACCAATAATAACGACCATACTCATACTAAGAATACGACTCATAACATATACTACTACTAAGAAGAAGACGATCCGTACTGATAGCACTAAGAAGACTAATACGAAACATCCGACGACACATAATAACACCAATACTAACAAACTAGTAACGTTTATATATTAAGAAGAAGAGTAAGACGACTAATGATAACGACGAGTATTAGTGCTACTAATACTACTAGTAATGATAATCATAGCCAGAAGAAAAATATAAATAAGGAGGACAGCCCTGTTAATAATAACAATGCTGATAAGACTAATACTAATACCATTACCCATGCTACTAATAATAATTTTTAGAAGAAGACGAAGAAGAGGAGGAGGAGGAGGAGGAGGAGGAGGAGGAGGAGGAGGAGGAGGAGGACGGGTGAAATGAACACCGGCCCGCTCGAGAATGGCCCGCCGCCCGGGCGTGGCGCTCCAGGACCTCGACTGTTCCGCATGGCCGAAGGAGATGCGGCCCTCTGCCCGCCCCCCGAGGGCAGGGGCGCAGCCACGTCCACCCGTCCCACGGGGATCACCCCGGGCAGGACTCCGGGCAGACGCTGGCGTCTGGGCCTCTCCAGACGGGATCCGCGCAGGGTCGGAGGGTCGCGCCGCATCGCCGAGGCGTCGCCGATGCGGCTTGGCGTGGAGCCCGACTTTCCCCACGCCGGTGGCGCCGATGCATCGCCGATGCATCGCCAGTGCATCGCCGATGCGGCGCGATCCTCCGATACCACCTCCTCGGACCATTTTTGGGAGGTCTCTGGCGGATATTTTCGAGAGGCAGCGAGAGTGGAGGCGCCCCCAGAGGCAGCGAGAGTGGACCCGCTGTACGTTCCAGGTGGTTCCAGTGCGTGGGGTCAATGGTTCTTCCTTCTCCTGTCCCTCCCTCAACCG